CTCAAGGCTAGCGCTCTACCACTTGAGCCACAGTGCCACTTCTGGCTTTTTCTGCTTATGTGGTGCTGAGGAATCGAACCCAGGGCCTCATGCATGTGATGCAAGCACTCTACCACTGAGCCACCTTCCCAGCCCCAATAATGTAATTTTTATTGTTGCCAAGTCAGATAGCAAACAGTGAACAGAAGACAGGTATATTTTTTTCCTACTTCATGCACTTGAAAATATTCCTGATAGGTGTGATGTGGCAGGCTTATAATTCCAGCACTCAGGAGACAGAAGCAGGAAGATTTAGCATTCGAAGGCAGCCCGAGTTACCCAGTCATATTTGTGTGTGTTTGTAAAACAACCCAATTCACTTGCCTGAGGAAATACTGCCTCATCTGGTCCTCAGGTCTAGATAATCCTTACAATTTTTGTTTTATTTTGTTTTGTTTTTTTGAGGCAGGGTTTCACTTATGCTGCCCAGGCTGACCTCAAACGCTCCATCCTCCTGCCTCTGGGATTACAGGCATCGGCCATGACAAGCACCACGTATGTCTTCCTAAATCATTTTAAGGACTTGCTACTTCCTGTTTCCTGGATAGGATTCAACAATGGGCTGGACTACAGGTGCCCTGTAGAACAGTAGCAAGGTCTCAGAACTTGCTTTACCTGGTAAAGCCCCAGGAAAACGCTGGCAGGATACAGTTGGCTCTACCAGATGACAGCCAGCCATTTACTTGAAAATTGGTAAGGACGAACAAACATTAACCATGGAATCAGCACACCAATTGCCAGAGTCTGGGCGGATTTGTGGAACAATCCCCCCCATCCGATTCATTGTTTCATCTTACCATCACCCAGACTCCTTCTCTAAGCTGCACCCCACCACAGGAGCACCCCACATTCAGTCTCTGTAGCAGCATTAGCCCTGAGGCTTCCCCAGGGGTGGGGTTTCCCTCTTTGTGACTCTTCAATGGAATGCACCCCAAGGCACTTCAGCAGTTCAAGGGTGACCATCCACCCAAACAATTGGATAGCCCAATGGAAGATTAGTATGAATAGCAATAATAATAAAAGTGAAATTAGACATTTACAGCTTGGCATGCTTGTAATCCTAGCTACTCGGGAGGTTGGGATCTAAGGATCAAGGTTCAAAGCCAGCCTAAGCAGGAAGTCTGAGGGATTTTTATCTCCAATGAACCACCAAAAGGTCTGAAGTGGAGCTGTGGCTCACAGTGGTAGAGCACAAGCCTTGAGCAAAAAAGCTCAAGGAGAGTGCCTAGGCCCTGAGTTCAAGCTTCAGGACTGACACCCAGAAGAAAAAAAAATAGATATTTACCTATTGTAATTGTTAACCCAAGTAGAAGAGCTAAAATTCTACTCCTACAGAAAGAAACTTAGGAGAAAAATCTGGGTCATCTGCTCTAGGTAAGTGCTTCTTTGATATGATATTAAACACACACATATGAATTTAAATTGGGCTGCCTCAAAACTAAATGCTTTTGATCTTCAGGAGGTAGGGTTTAGAAAGTGGGGAAAAAGACAAATATTTGCAAATTGTAATCTGATAAAGGACTTGTTCATACTCCATAAGAAGACAAAGTCTTAAGGAGAACAAAGAAACCAATTTTAGAAGGAAAAAAAAAGACAAGAGAAAGGTTTCAATAGTATTTCACCAAAGAAAGGTTGCAAGTGGCTCCTGAAGGGTTGCAAGGCAGCTTCATTAGGTATTTATGAGATGCAAATTAAAGCCAGAGCACCCTGCACACTCAATGTAACTGCAGAGATTGCGATATTGCAAGTGTGCGTTGAAAGGGACCCTCCTTCCATTCTTCATGAGAGAGCAAATAGCAGCCTTTCAGGAAGCTAACCACATAAACCATACAGCTTGGCAATTTCTTTCCTGCAGATCTACTCCAAAGAAATGAAAACACCCCCCCCCAAGGACTTGGATTTCATTATCAACATTATCCATGAGTGTCTAGCAGTGGAATGGATTCAAACATCCATCCATTGGCAAATGAATGAGCACAATGTAATACACACAGGGCAATATTACATGCTAAAACAGTAGTAACACTGGGTGCGGGTGGCTCATGCCTGTAATCCTAGTTGCTCAGGAGGCTGAGATCTGAGAATCTTGGTTCAAAGCCAGCCCAGGCAGGAAAGTCCATGAGACTCTTATCTCCAATTAAGCACCAGAGAAGAGGGAAGTGGTGCTATGGCTCAAAGTGATAGAGTGCCAGCCTTGAGCAGAAAAAGCTCGGGACAGCATCTAGGCCCTGAATTCAAGCCCCAGGACAGATAAAGAAAAAATAAAAATAAAAGGAAAAGTATTGATTCTAGCTCATGGTTTCAGAGGTTTTAGTCAATGATTGGTTCTGTTGTTTCTGAGTCATGGAGAGCCAAGGCATCATGGTGATAACTTGCGGTAGATCAAAGCTGATCACTTTGCCACAGCTAAGAAGCAGAGATAAATAGGAAGGGCCAGGAACAAGACACATCCCTCAAAGACAGGTTCTCATCTGCCACTTCCTCCATTCAAGCCCCACCTCCCACAGCTCCACTGCCTCCCAGTAGCCTCTACAGTCTTTTCTTTGCAGGATAGAGGGAAAATCCACCCAACTACTGTGGCAAACTATTTGGTAAGTTTGTCATATGCCTCTCCAACGACTCATTGATTCCCTATCTTACAGAAATACTTATGTGCACTAAAAGAATACATTCATAGCAGATCAGGTGAGGCACCTCAGGTCTCATGAAGGAGGCAGAGATAAGAGGATCACAAATGGAGGCTACCTCTGTGAGATCTTATTTGTCTGTGTCCCATGGGTAAGTTGGACCTCTGGCTACCAGGGACAGGGCAAGGTTTTCTGGGTTCTCCCTCCCCAATCAGAAGGCCTCACCTCTGCAAATTTTCCACGTTACAGGGGTTGCTTCCGGACTGACTGCATTTGGTGAAGCAGTTAGAAATGTCCTTCACAGAGAAGGGGTCATACTGGTACCCCTTGGTGAGCAGGCAGGAGTCTCTGCCCTGTTCATGGGTCTTCTCTTCACCTAGGGAGGGTGCAGAGCATGAATAGGAGCCATGGAAGGAGCAACAAGCTCAGGGGAAGGCTGGTGGTACAGATCGATCCCAGCTGTCTCCAGCCACACGCATTGCCCATCTAGGCAGGACTCAAACCCCACCTTCCACCCCCACCCCAAACCTTGGTTTCTCAGGTGAAAGAAGGCACTTCCCTGTGGGGAAAACACGGCCTATGATTCTGTAGATAAAAGGTTTCCTATGTTAGTGCTCAGTAGAAGGTTCCACAGCCAGGCATAGGTTCACACCTGTAATCCCAGCTTCTGTGGAGCCAGACGTAGCAAGATTGTAATGCAAGGCAGGCCTGGGCAAAGAGCTGAAACCCTATCTAAAGATTAAACTAAAAAGCTGGGCCACTAGTTGTTCACACCTGTAATCCTAGCTACTCAGGAGGCTGAGATCTGAGGATTGCAGTTTGAAACCAGCCTAGTCAGAAAAGTCAAGTCCAAGAGACTTTTATCTCCAATAAACTACTCAGAAAAGACTGGAAGTGGTGCTGTGGCTCAAGTGGTAAAATGCTAGCCTTGAGCAAAAGAAGCTCAGGGACAGCGCCCAGACCCTGAGTTCAAGCCCCAGGAACAGAAAAAACAAACAAACAAAACACCAAAACCATGAAAAACTAAAGCAAAAAAAGCTGGGGACTTGGCTCAAGTAGCAGGATGCCTGCCTAGCAAACATAGGGCCCTGAATTCAAATCCCAGTAAGGCTCAATCTGTCAGTGCTGTTGCTCCTTTACTGCCCCCTCCAGGGAATCTGCCTGACTTTTCACCTCGGCTCCATATCCATCACACTGGCTCCTGGGTTCTGTATTGTTTTGTTGCGACCCTCACAGCCACCTCCTGGGGAAAGCAGAGAACACATGGAACTATAGCTGCTAGACCACCATGACCCAGGCAAGGTCACCAGTTCCCATACTATACACCAGCATTGTGGAGGCACCCATGGGTGCTGAGTTGGGGGCCTGAGGGGGTGGCAGAGCTAGGAGAAGGGCTCAGAGCTGGCCAGGTGGGGGGGGGTGAGGTGGGGTGAATGGGACAGAAGAGAAGCCAGACCAAGGCCAAGCCCTTCAGCTGCCCCGGGACCTCGGGATCCCCAAGGGGTGGGGGGAGGGAGGGGAACGGGAGCCTGGCTCTGTCACTGTAGACTGTGGGGTCATCACTGAGGGAGTGACAGGGGGAGAGGGAAGGGTGGGGGTGAGGCAGGTGCAAGCCCTGCCTGGCCTCATTTCCAGAGGCCCCCAACACTGCCCCCAGGGGCCCAAAAGCCAGTTAAAAAGCTTGTCAGGCCTACGTCTCAAAGTCAGGCCACAGGGAGCCTTGGGCCAGGGTATCATGGAGCTGCCTCTGTTTCCCCCATCCATAAAACACTGTCAAAGGGCCAAGGGGCCCTGGACTGGCCCTGAGGGACAGACCTCTTGTAGGAGGATACCCTGACTCCTTACCTCCTGCTCCTGTCTCCGGCTCTCTGCCCAGTCCTGGGCCCCTTGGCAGGACAGGGTCTCTTGGGTAAGGCAGGAATGGCAAGGAGCGACTCACCTGAGGCCAGCAGCAGCAGCAGAAGCAGGGCTCCCAGGCCCCGGAGGGTCACCATTTGTGGCTGGCCCAGCCCTGTGGCTGTCTGGTTCTCTGGTCCCAAGCTCTGACCGTTCTACTGGCCTGCCTTATGCCTCCACCCACCCCCCCACCCCACTTCCTGCGGCCTCTTCCTCCCCCTTCCTGCCCAATGGCGCCATCGAATGGTGATGAAAGGCAGGTGTGGGGAACTGGGCGAGGCTCCACCTTCAGAGAAAGCTGGGCTGGACCCACCGGAGAGGGGGGGGGCTCCCAAGGCCCTGCAGGGTGGGCACTGGACAGCCTTGGGGACCAGGCTTTAAGGACAAAGTGATGAGGACTCTGAACCCCACTCCAGCCTCTGTGCACAGTCCCAGGCCCCCTCGAGCTGGGTGGAGATGAGAAGAGACCTGACAGAGCCAGGCCATGGGGGACAGATCAACAACTCTGGTGGTGCCTTGAATTAAAGAAAGCAACAGGTACCCCACCCCGGCAGGGGGGCCTGGGAGGACAGAAGAACTGACTTCTGGGACACTGAGCCTCTCCCACAGGATGGGATAACAGGAAAGACAGAAGGCAGGAAGGTGAGGGGACAGGAGCGTGGGCCCTGGCAGTGGTCAGGTCTGAGCAGCTTCCTGGCTAAGTGACCCTGTATGATCTGTCACAGAATCTCTCACGGTGTGTGGAGACGCCAGGGGAGTGGGGGACATTGTCCCAGTATCATTTGATGCTAATCAGTACTGTGAAATTATGTCACCCTTCCCCAGACATGGCGGGAAGTGAGGGCAGCAAACATAGGAGGGGAGGGGGGTAGGGCGGCTGCTGGGGCTCCAACTCTGCTGGCCCTGAGGATACTGTGGATGAGGCCTGGTTCTTGATGGACTCCTAGGGCCATTAGGGGACCAGAAGGTGAGATGTGCCCTCTCACCATCTTCCCCTCCCCCATCAGGTCCCCAAAGCCACCCCCCACAAGGTCTGTAGTTCCCCTTCCTCTCATATGGTCCCCTGCTGGGCCCTCTGGGTCTCAGTGGGGGTGAGGGAGGAATGTTGGGATCACTCAGGGGCTGTGGGAGACTAGAGGAAATCTGGTATGGAGGTCAGACTCCAGGGGTTTCTGAGCCCCTGACCTTCTTTCCAGCTGCAGTGAGGACGAGGAGGGATGTAGGCAGTGACTAAGCCTGCCCTGGAGCTCTGTCCGGTGACAGGAGGGCCTGGTGGGCCCCAGAAGGAGAGGGCCCACCTCCCAGGAAGGTAGCAGGGGAGGGTCAGGCAAGTCAGAGGGCCACACGCTACAGCTCTTCTCTGGAAGACCCCACAGGAACAGGAGAGCTGGCCTGGGGCCATTCTCAAAGCTCTGGGGCTCCCACACCCCAGGGCCAACAGAACTGTAGTGTTGGGCTGGGAAGGTGGCTCAGTGGTAGAGCGCTTGCCTTGCATGTATGAGGCCCTGGGTTCAATTCCTCAACACCACATAAGCAGAAAAAGCCAGAAGTGGCACTGTGGCTCAAGTGGTAGAGCGCTCGCCTTGAGCTGAAGAGCTGAGGGACAGCGCCCAGGCCCAGAGTTCAGGCCCCATGACTGGAAAAAAAAAAAAAAAAGAACTGTAGTGTCAACTTGTGCCATTTCCTGACCCCCTCAAAAAAAAAAACTCCAGTGGGCAAGACCTCAAACCAGCTTAGACCTGACCCCCATGCACCCCTGGGCTGTTCCATCGATGTCTAGATGCACCCTTGGTCCTGTGCTGGTGGGGAGGGTGGTCCTGTCATCCACAGCCATTGCCCCAGTCCAGGGAGAGCCACCAGGTCCCAGGGAGCCCCTCACAGAAGAGTCACGTGCTTATCCAGGGCCTACAAGGAAAATGGATCCAACCCTCGACTCCATCCCTTTACCTGAAACTGCTGGAAACCAAGCCATTCAAGAGAGAGAAACTGAAGGCTGGGCGCTGGTAGCTCACACCTGTAATCCTAGCTATTTAGGAGGCTGAGATCTGAGAATCATGTATCTTAGCTAACCCAGATAGGAAAGTCCATGAGACTTATCTCTAATTAACCAGCAAAAAGCTGGAAGTGGACTTATGGCTCAAGTGGTAGGATGCCAGCCTTGAGGGAAAAAGCTAAAGGACAGTACCTAAGCCCTAAGTTCAAGCCCCAGTACCAACACACATACACACACACTGTAGGTCCCTAAAGATCTCAAACTTGTAGCCCACCATGAGTACTGCCAGTCAGCCCTAGGGCTGTCGAGGCAGTTCTGACTCACGGCATCCAACCCCAGAAGCCCCAGCTTCTTTCCTTGTCCCAAGAGTCCCTGGAGCAATCAGAGAGGAAGGAGGAGAGGGCGGAGTCCTCAAGTAGACCTAGACTGAGCATCTAAGAGCTGAGATTACCGGGCACTGGTGGCTCACACCTGTAATCCTAGCTACTCAGGAGACTGAGATCTCAGGATTGCGGTTCAAAGCCACCCAATAAACCACTAGAAAACCAGAAGTGGTGCTGTGGCTCAAGTGCAGAGTACTAGCCTTGAACTGAAGAGCTTAGGGACAGTGCCCATGCCCAGAGTTCAAGCCCCACTACCGACCAAAATAAAAAAGAGCTGAGATTACAGGCCTGCACAGCCAGCCCAGAAGTGGAACTTGACACCTAAACACAAACAGTGATGGTCAAATGTGATCGGACAGAATCTAGCAGAGCTGCCTAATCTGTCACAGGATGGTGAGGAACAGGCTGAAGGCAAGGACGGAAGAGAAATGGTCATTTCATTATTTACAACACTAAACTCATTCAGCTCAGGGATGAATTCAGCCTTCACGTGTCATCATTTGGCTAAAGAATTTTTTTTAGTTTTTTTGAAAATTTTTATTTAAAAAAACACAAAACACAGACTTACTCCACTTCAATATGTGGTCTGTTGCATTTTCTAGTTTGTTCAATGCTTTAAAGCTCATTGATGCCTCTGCTTTCAATTGTACATGGGCCTGAAGCATCCCAGCTTTTGGCAAGCAGGCAGGAGACTCAACAAGAATCAAAATAGGAACAAGACAGACTAAATGCAGGGCACATCTGTAAACATATTATACATTGAAAAATTACAGTATATCAGTAAAAGTGATACCGTTTACAGGTGAAAACTATCTGAAACTGGCCTACGACAAGTTTCTGAACCTGGACTGATTATCTATCTATCTATCTATCTATCTATTTACAAGTTTTGTTTACATCAAGTGGAATTGGCAATCCATGCTTATACTTTTTTAAAAATCTAATCAGGACAGAAATCCAGACTAAAAAGATATTTCATCTATGTTCAGTCCAATAACTTCTTTTGTAAATTACTTGTTAAAAGTCTCAGTCAACAAGAAAACTCATCCATACTACAATCGCTCAAAAACTAGACATTTCTTAAGAAAAATGATAGAGCAAAAAGTAGTTACTTTCTCTCCAAATATCAAGAGATCCAGTCTATTTTTATTAGAAGACTACAACTCTCTTTATATAAATACCCTGCTATTCTACCTGTATTTGACATACATGGATATACTAATTTCACTGCATGTATGTGTGTGATGTGATGCTATGTCAGGCCAGAAAACTTATTATATCACCAACATCACCCAATCTTAAAATCGGACCCTTAGTTTTTCGTCACACACACACACACACACAATTTATTTTTAGCATGCTATACACAAGCTGCAGTTCAACAGGATGGCAATGATAAGACAGGGCTAATAACTCTTCTCTGCCCAAAAGAAAATTTCCAAAATTTCACACTATTTTCCTTAAAAACCCATTTTGCTCTAATAATAAAATACATTTATTAAGATATAATTCAAAGCTAATAAGCTTAGAAGTATAATTTGCATGGAAACAGCTTCTATAAGCAGGGTTTATTACCTCCTTACTGGCTAAAAACATGAGAAGTTTTCCTGGGCTCTTTTCCTCTCCTTTTAGATTTAAAGATAATGTAAAGAAATGTACACAAATTTCTTAGATGGTTAATGAAAAACAAGAAACTGCTCATTTAGTGTTAGAGACAGAGAGCAAGTCTGGAGCACCTACAATTGAAAAGCAGAATATATTTTTGCTCCCAGTTACACAATTACATTAAAATATGGGCACAGGAGTACTTTTTCCATATCTAAGCTAATTGCTTGTTCTGCAACTGTTCTTTAAATGGTACTCAATATATTCTTCAGTTGTTACCAAAGTTTAACATGTAACCAAAGCTAGTTAACTATACATCCATCAACTATTCCAGAATTGTAGAACTTGAATGCCCGCCCCTACCATCCCCCAAAAAAAAGGAAAGGAAAGATTTCTCCAACACCCCACAGAGGCTGCTTAACTTCTGGCAAGAAATGCAAATTATATTTGCTAAAAAAAAAAATACATCCTGCAAACTTCAAGGCATTTATCCAGCATTCTAGCAGGACTTAAAAGTAAAACCAAAAGATCAGGGAGAAGTAGGGGGAAATGTTGAATCATTGTTAAAGAATATTTTGAGTTTACCAATAGTTTTTTGTGGTTGTTGTTTGTTTTTTGGTCAGTTGTGGGGCCTGAACTCTTGAGCTCTTCAGCTCAAGGCCAGCACTCTACCACTTGAGCCATAGTGCCACTTCTGGCTTTTTCTGCTTATGTGGTGTCGAGGACTTGAATCCAGGGCCTCATACATGTGAGGCAAGCACTCTACCACCGAGCCACCTTCCCAGTCCCTACCAATAGTTTTAAACCATGGATTCTTCATGCCAACCTGGGTTTCTACATGGGTTGTTTTCCTGCATCCTAGACCTGAAGCTAGAGCTGTCACTCAGCATGGGGTTTTAATTCTCACTTTGCCACAGACCTCACTTCTCATTACATCTCCAACATGAATGCCAGCTTGCCATTTGTCTTCTCAGTTGTCTGGCATCAGCTGTTGGCATTTTCCCTCACCCAGTGTCCTCTTCTCTTTCCTGAGACACTGGCATCTTGATGTTTTCAATAACACAAGAAACATCTCTGGAGGAAATGCTCCAAACGTTTGTTAGGCAAAGAAAACTGATTTTTATTTTCCCTCTTGACAATCTTCTACAGTTTCCAGATTCTCTACAATAAACACATCCTCCTTTTTAATATCAAAAGACAAATGAGTGCTGAGCATGGTGGTCAACACCTATAATCCCAGCTCTCAGAAGGCAGAGGCAAGAGGGATCAGCTGAGGCTCTATAGCTCTGTTTCCCCTCTCCCCCCACCAAAAAAAACAAACATCAAAATAGGATGAACAAACTGACACTTAAAAAGAACACAGTCTTCATCTTGAAGGCTGAGGTCAAGATAAAATGCTGCCTCTTCCAGAAGATTTCCTACATGCCCATCAAAGAGTATTGGCTCCTACCTTGTACCTATAGCCCCAGGGCCTTGTATTCTAAGCTGAGTTTGCAGGAAGAGCCCACCAGATCTGTCTATCTGTGTCCCTGCCACCCTAACACAGGCTGGTGAGTGGTGAATGAGTGTTGGGCAGAGTCCCCCATGACAGGCAGCCATCTGCAGGGATTTGAAGACCACCTTATAGGTGAGAAGTCTGGCTCAAACTAGGGTCAGCAGAAGGAATGTCCCAGTCTTCTAGAGTGCCAGGACTGTCCCATAGTTCTTGCCACAGGAGGGTCCCTCTGAGGGGTGATCAAGGACAGCACTGACACACAGGCCACATGGCCCCGCCCAGGTGTCCATACGAGAGACATCCAAGGCCCGTGAAGCCACGGTAGTTTACAGCAGGCACCAGGAGGCTGGGTGGGAATCGCTTCCCAAAGTAACAGCATTGGAACTGGAGGCCCCAGGCTGTGGGCAGAGGGTAGGGAAAGCTCAGGAGGGGAGCAGGGAAAAAAGGGGCTCTGGGAATCTGGTGGAGGGAGAGGCTCTGGGCTCTGAGGTAGCCTTTGAAGGAGGGCCTCACCACCTGCAGGACTCCAGCCCAACTCTCTGTCCAGCTCTACTTGTCCTTGCTGCTGCCCAAATTAAAAGGACCAGGGCTGCAGAATGCTGTGTAGTGACTGGTTCAGAGTCGTAACAGCCTGGGTAGCTGTGTCTGGGCATCTAACATCCAAGCCTGGCCCTGATGCTGTGGAGTCAGCTGAGCTCAGAGAAGTCAGGAGAAACAAGGCCTGAGTCCTAGGTTTGATCAGTCGTGGGGACATCCTTCCCACCAGCATGGCAGCATAGTCCGGAATCCTTGGGAGTTGGAACTGGGAGCTGAGAGTGGTCCTCAAGGCCAGGTGGGCATCTGGTTACCATGGCAACTGTTCCATCCATCCATCCATTCATTCATCCATCCAGGGAACAGGGCCTTCTCCAGTCTGCCACTGCCCAGTGGTAGGCTGAGGCCAGCGGTGGCTGTAGACAATGGGGGAGCCATGTCTCTGCCCTCACACAGAGTGGACGCTGGGGTGTTTAGGCGCGGCTGGATGAGGTGCTACCAGAGCTGATGGGGAGCCGGGCGCTGTCTGAGCTGTTCTTCAGAGGAGAAGGACCTCCCCGGGCCTGCAGCCGCATGGACCAGTACCAGAGGAAGATGAGGAAGCCTGCAAGCAGGGAGACAGAGGCAGGAGTGAACAGGCGTGCAGCCACCGGCCCTCCCCACTCCAACTCCCAGTCACCTCACCCACCACAGGCCCAACATACTTCTGGCTCAGGCACTAGACAGTGCTGCTGGGATTTATTTTTTTGATATAATGGGGTTTGAACCCGAACCTTGTACTTGCTAGGCAGATGCTCTACTACTTGAGTCATGCCCTAGTGCTGCTGTTTTATTATGTTCAGAGAGAGAGAGAGAGAAGAGAGAGAGAGAGAGAGTGTGTGTGTGTGTGCATCACTTAAGATCCTCAGCTTTAGAAGATTAAGACTTTAAATTTGAGCTGGGCGCAGGTGGCTCATGTCTCTAATCCTAGCTACTCTGAGGAGCGTGGTTCAAAGCTTTCAAGAAAGTGTGTGATTATCTCCAATTAACCACCAAAAAGTTGGAAGTAGAGCTGTGGCTCAAGTAGTAGTGCATTAGCCATGAGTTATAAAAAGCTCAGGGTAAACAAGACAAAAAATGAAAAGTTCAAGGACAGTGCCCAGGCCCTGAATTCAAGTCCCAAGCCTGGCAAAAAAAAACAAAAACAGCGATCCTATGTAGAAAGCTGAGACCCTATGTAAACTCCTGGCCTGGCCACACAACAAGCCTACAAATCTGCACAGCCCAGACAGAAACATACGTGTACTGAATGTGGGGATACACGTATGATCCTTTGGGCCTCAAACCAAGATCCTTCCCTCTGCCCTGCCTCACACTGGCTACCCTGTAGCCTTCCTAACCATTCTCCCAACACATAAATCATTCTGACCTCAGAGCCTCTGCTCTTGCCTTCTCTGTAGGGCCCACCCTGACATCCCTATACTGAGATTGCCTGGTGGCTGTGAGCTGGCTTTGTGCATGATTAGTCTCTTCCCCCCCCATGAGCTCAGGACTGTAACCCCAGGGACAGCACAGGACCTACAATGTAGGTGCTCCATAGAACTGAGGCCTGGAGGGTGCCCCCAGGTCTGGATTAGGAAGACTGAGCCCAGAGAAGGGAAACCCCAGGCTTTCCTACACCATCGCCAGGGGCGGCTCTTCCCATGCTTACCTTGGAAGGAGGTGATGATGCTGAAGAGATAGAGAACCACAAGTTGGAAGGTGCCAGAAGCAAAGGAGAAGAAGACCAAGGCCCAGGGCAGGCCAAGGACCAGGCTGAGGCCCAGCAGGGTCAGCACGTGGGGCCACTTCTGGTTGTGTGGCCGCAGCCGCAGGATCTGTACCACCATGGTGATCAGCATGGCCATGTTGAACAGGAACACCAGGCTGAAGAGGCCCAGGTTGGTGATGTAGCTGACCAGGGAGTCACGGATCCAGCACCTGGTGGGGGAAAGGAGGAGTCAACACACGGCTGGGTGGAAGAGCATGTCCCCCATTGAATTCTCAGTTTATGGAAAGTAGGGTTGGTGCCATTTCTTTGTAAAATGCATTCAATTAACAAGTCAGATAATTTAAAGTACTACATAAATATGATATCAAGGGAGATGTTGGCAGTTCACACCTGTAGTCCTAGCTACTCAGAAGGCTGAGATCCAGAGGATCATGGTTCAAAGCCAGCCCTGGGAAGAAAAGTCTGTAGGAAAAAGCCAGGGTGAAGGCATGGTTCAAGTGGTAGAACACCAAGCAAGCAAGCTGGAGGTCCTGAGTTCAAAACCTAGTACAGTCAAAGAATAAAAATTTTAAATGCTATCAAGCTGGAGACATAGCTCAAGTGGCAGAACATTTGCCTAAGTGTGAGGTCCTGAGTTCAAACTGAAGTATAAATAATAACATGGTGACCATGGGCGCAGTGAGCATGACCAGGCGTGTGGCTCTCCAGGCTTCCAGCTTCCGGTTTCCCATATCCATGGGAGCCAGCATGCTGCAGTCCAGATCCGCCTCCCACAAGGAAACGGAGGCTCAGGAATAGGACCGACCCCGGCCCCTGTCACCCCATCCCTTCCCCACACTCACATGGAAGGGTAGCTGACCCGCTCTGGAGTCCTGTGCACTGCCAGGATGATGGGGCCGTAGTTGTTCACGTCCACCAGAGCCACCAGCGTCACCAGGAAGACGGGAAAGCCTGAGGGTAGCAGAGGCTCATCATACCCTCCCCTCAGGTAGGTCAGGGGAGGCAGGGAGGACCCTCCAGGGCCAGGGCTCCAAGTTGAAGGTTGAACCACCTTCCCCATTCCAGTGTGGCTGTCCCATAAAGGGAGGTCCTCCCCTAACTGTGTTCCCACCTCCATCCTAGAGGCCCAAGACAAAGGGCCTGAGATCCCTGCTGAGGGGGGAGGCAGACAGGACAGTTGGGGGGCGGGGGAGAAGCGGGGAAATAGAGGAGGACAACAAGAGTTCTGAATAAGGAGCTGTCTGGGGTCAGACCTGGTCTATCAGGAGGGGAGAGGGGAGGCTCCCTGAAGGGGCCCCACCTCCCACCTTGGGCCAGGCCCAGCCAATGAAAGAGCTCCCAGGACCTGAAGGGGGGTGAGCTGGGGGAAGTCAGAGTCTATGCTATGTCCCAAATGGCTCAAGTGTGAGTGCCTGGACATCATGGCTCAACCCCAGCTGGGTGCTCTTGAGGGGTGTACAACCTGTACAGCGGTGCCCAGCCACCCCATCTGCAGAGCCCTTCTCAAAGAGGCAGCAGTGGTAGTACTTGAAAGTGTGTCTTGGGGCCAGGCCTGGCCCAGCCCAGGTGTAGGGACCCCTGGGGACCGGTGGATGAAGGAAGCAAGGCGGCAGAGGAAGTTCTCAGGGGAGCCTCCTCCCCTCACTCACCCCAGCCCACGGCGCTCAGCTTGAGCAGGTAGCCAGGGACGTAGGTGCCGAAGACCTCGATGACGAGGCGGTAGAGGTTGTAGCCCTCCAAGCCCATCCAGGCCAGGCAGGCCAGCAGAGAGAAGTGCAGGAAGATGGCGCTGGCTCGGCAGGCAGCCTGGGAGCCTGACAGCGCCACCGGCTCACTAAGCAGGAAGCTCACGTCCAGCAGGAAGACAGCCAGGAGCAGGTTCATGTGCACCTTGATGGTGTAGTCTCTAGGTTTCCTCCTGCTGGGGGGGGGGGGGTAAGGAAGATCAGGGGTGGGGTCAACTCCACCTCCTCATCCCCCTTCTCCTCTTTCTCCTCATTCCTCATTCTCCTACTCCACTTCCTCTCCATCCCTCCTCCTCCTTACTCGTCATTGCTTCCTCCTCCTCTTCCTCCTCCTCCTCTCCTCCTCCTCCTTCTCCTTCTCCTCCTCTCCTCTTCTTCCTCCTCCTCCTTCTCCTCCTCCTCCTCCTTCTCCTTCTCCTCCTCTCCTCTTCTTCCTCCTCCTCCTTCTCCTCCTCCTCTCTCCTTTCTCCTTCCTCTTCTCCCTCTCTTTTCCTCCTCCCTCTTCTTCTTTCTCCATCTTTTTTTTTCCTTTCCCCTTCTTCATTTCAGGACCTGCCCGAGGCCCAGCAGGCCTACCTGGAGCACAGGTAGGCAGCAATGGTGAAGACGCAGGCCAGGGCAGAGATGACGCAGCCCACGTAGGAGAGGAGCGTGAGGTTGTGCTTGTGGGTGGCGTCCACCTCCACTGAGGACACCTGGGCAGGGACAGGGGCGTCTCAGTGTCCCACCTCCATGGGGGTCTCCCTGGAGAGGGGCCTTTGTGCCCTCTTGGGTGAGGGGCCCTCCCACCACATGCATTCTTCTGGAAGGATCTGGGGCCCAAGTGTGACCTACACATATCCTCCCCATTTCACCAAAAGACCACTGCTCAGCCTGAATTACAGGTGTTCCCCTTGACACTGGTTCCACTTAGGAGTTTCCAAGACCATATTGGTACAAGGGCCATAGGCAAGAGACAGAGACCATATTTGGAACTTGAACTTGGCTTCTCTTAGCTAATAATGTCTCACTGTACTCGCTTGAGGTGCTGGGCAGTGAGCCACAACTGTGTTCCACCTACAAACGTCACTGACACTGCCCCCACTTTTTATTGGCTTGTGTGTGTGTGTGTGTGTGTGTGTATTGGTCTGGAATTTGCAATCCTCTTGCCTCAGCCTCTAAAATGCTGGGATTACAGGCATACACCATCATACCTGGATGATGCACTTAAAATGGATGTTCAATTCACAATAGGTTCACCAGAATGCAACCCCATTATGAGTGGAGCGGTGTCTGTATGTTTCTATGACACCCAGCATGAAGATTGGTTTTCTGTGACAGAATGAGCTTCCCATGCCCAGAGGACTCTGGGAACATGAAGTTAGAGCAGGAGTTTCAGAGCTCCCAGAAACAATGGAGCCCACCTGAGGGGCCTCCATGCTGGGCCTCAGCCTCCAGGCAGGGGCCTATTAAAGTCTCCCTGCCCCAGCCCTTGTAGTTAGGAGCAGGTGCCTGCATTTTTAATGTCAAAAATCTAGGAATAAGGAGCAACAGCCTTACAAACCAGCTCTTTCCTTAACTATAAAATGGGACAAGGGGATGAGCTCAGAGGAAAACATGGATTCAGAAGGAAGTTAATGCCTGAGTTGCTAAGCACAGGCCTGGCAGATACAAAGCCTGTGGGAGGTGAAGTGAGGTGGGGTGGGGGTGGGGGGAAGGGACCCACCATCAGCACTGCGAAGTAGGTCAGGTGGCTGCAGAGACAGGACGTCTGAGTTTCTCCCCTGACAGTCTCACACCCATCGCTGCTCCAGCTCCCGGGGCTGCCGGCTGAGGGGACAGGGGGTATGAGCCCTGATCAGCTCACCTCCCAGGGTATCTGTGTCCCCCAGTTATTGGGTAGGTCTTTGCATATCTGCCCACTGCCCCTCCCTCCACCAAGCCCAGCCCTCCAGGAAACCCCTGGGGGAGCCTCGCCTCCCCCACCCCCCTCTCAAGACCCTAGTTCTCCAGACACTTGTCCACCCAGAGATCCCTCCAGACTCACGTGCTGCATCTTCAACCCAGAAAACGCACTGGAGGGTGATGTTGTTCTGTGGGGACCAAAGAGAAGGGGTATAAGCCCCTGTGGCTGCACCCCCTACCCACGCGGGGGTTCAAGCCTCAGCCTTACACTGAGAACATGTCAGCTGGGATGGGAGGCCCCGCCCCATTCTCAGGGACCCACCCACAATTAGAGGCCCTGCCTGTTCTGAGGCCCCGCCCCCTTGGAAGGAAGCCCTGCCCATTTCCAGGGCCCCGCCCCTAACCAGAGGCCCAGACTCTGTCTGGACGCCCTGTACCCAGGCTGCTGCCCACACTCACTGGCTGGGGCTGGTGCTGGAAGGTGAGCACCACCGGCTCTGAGAGGTTGGAGACTTTGGTGTCCTGAACAACGATGCCCAAGACCTTCTCGCCCAAGACTTGGCTGGAATTCTTGTCCTAGACATGCAGAGTTGGGGAAAGAGGGCAGGGAAGGACAGGGCTCAGCCTGACATCTGTGCTCAGCCTTGTCCCTCCTTTCCTTGGCACCTGCCGTGACTGAGGAGCCTCGGGCTTGGGGCACACAGGCCCTGGGCCCCACATGGTGGCCTGTAGCCCAGGGTTTCATGGGCCAGCTCTGTCGTGGGCCATGAACTTTGCAGGGAGACCCCAGTGGAGAAAAGTCCAGAAGATTCCCTTGTCTCTCTAGACTCTTGTCATTCCCAGAGTTCTCTGAGCGCCTGAGTCTCCCTCTGGAGCCAGTTTTGGGGTCCTGGGCTTGCAGACAGGGCCTGGGCAATGTCACTGAGTTTTTATTTTGCTTAAGGCTAGTGCTCTACCACTTGAGCCACAGCACCACTTCCAGCTTCTTTGGTGATTATTTGGAGATAAGAGACTTAACAGAATTTTCTACCCAGGCTGGCTTCAAACCCCAGTCCTCAAATCTCAACCAAACTGCTGGCAAGATTTTCCTAGGACAGGCTAGGAGAGGAAGGTGGGCGGCAGGATCTTCCCGCATCTCTTCACCAGAGAAAAACTGACTCCAGGGAACGCAGCAAGGGAGGCACCCCAGTACCTGAAACAGAGCCTGACTGCTGAAGTCCACCACGAGCAGTCTCTTGGCCGCCTCTCCGCGCCGGCCTTTGGTCTGCTGAAAGAGGGCGCGGGGCAGCAGCACGGAGTACTCTCGGACCTCACTCTGCTCCTCCTGTGCACAAAGGTTCTGTTAGGGCCCAGCCCAGAGCAGACTCTGGATCCAGCCTTTCCTGAGCTCCTTCTCCAGGAAACCAAGCCTGACATCAGTGCTCAGCCTTGTCCCTTTCTTTGGCACCTGCTGTAGCTGAGGAGCCTTGGGCTTGGGCCACACAGGCCCTGGGCCCCATATGGTAGCCTATGGCCCAGGGCTTCATGGGCCAGCTCTGTCCACAGGGAGACCCCAGTGGAGACCCTGGAGCATGCCTCCCTGCTTCCCCACCAACAACCCACCTCCTGCCGGGAGTGGATGTGGAGGTCCTGGAGGCCGGCGGAAGGCCACAGCTTCCATATGGTGGCGTTGACTCGGTCCTCCTCAAAGGACACCTTGTCCCCCGGGAAGCTCACAGTGGCCAGCTTTGACTCCAGGCTCTGCAGCTGCCTGGTGGGAGGAGAACACGGTGGATGATGGGGAGAGAGTGAGGCAGAAAGCAGGGCCTCAGGCAGGTACAGGGGTAGGAAAGGCAGGGATAAGAGAAGGGGCAGCCTGGGCGGGATGAGGCAGCTACGAGGCACACCCTGGGACTTAGCATGGACTCGTGGGGTGGTGATGGTCCCCCAGTCCTGGGGCGACACTTACTTGCTGGCCAGGGTGGCCGAGGGCCTCCTGGAGGCCTTGTGTGGCTGCTGCAGGAGCTGGCTGAGCCGTAGGAGGACACTCTTCAGCTCGCACATGTCCACTGAGGCTGATGTGTTGTGGGAGGGTGATGGGGCTCTGCAGAGGGGACAGAGACAGGCTGAGATCATGACCGAGGGCCTGGCCCAC